TATTGATTGAAACTCGTCAATAGAGCAGCAAAAAATTCTTTATGAGACGCAAACACATGAAACGAAAGAAAAGAAGAAAAATATAGTATAGCGTTTCTGCAGCACTTCTTTATTTACACACGACACTTTCACATTGCCATGGACTCAACAGACACGATCGAAAAAAGAGAAAATGTTGGCAACAATAATGAATATTTCTTAGTTTATGTTTTTGTTTCATTGGTTGGTTCATTGTTAATGTACTTTTGTTGATATTTCGTGTTTGTCATAATGGTATTTACAGAAGAAACCCAAATGAATCATACATTCAACATTACAGTGAATTTTTTATTTCGCGGAACAAGCTTGTATTTTTTTGTGCAAAGGGATGTGGCATATGTTATAAAGATAGAAGCTTTTTTGTGACCTTTGAATTTAGAAGGGTGTATGTGGATATGAGTTTGACAGCTCGACTTCTGTTCACGCATATCTACAACCAAAATAAGGTTTAATTCTATTCTGAGTATTGGCTCAAATTCAAATTAGAATTATTTAGTACACGACACAGCGAAAGCTCATAAATGAAATTATCAAATAAAACTTTGGTTTGCTTGCTACATCTATATTACTCTCTATCGAACTCTTCATTAATGCTCCAGTAAGCATAGAATGCAGTAAATATTACTGAGAATTCAGCAAGATACGAACTATTCTTTCCTGCTGAGTCATCGACTAATAATGTTTCTTATATTTGATAAAGATAAAAATTGTTGTTTTGACTACTGCTTCAATCAAAATTAAATTTATTTCTCTTGTTCTTCTGTTCACATTGTCAGAGTGCTCATTAGAATCATACTAAAGATATCGAATTGATGATGTATTCATTGTTATTCTTTTCCTTTTTGCCAAAAAGACAAAAAAAGTTGTTCTGAAGAAATCAAAAAAAAAATCATCGGTGAATGAGAAAAATATTTATAATGCATCAATACTCAAGTGATTGTTTAGATGAGGAGCAAATATAAGTTGGAAAGAAAAAGCATGAAAAAAATGATGTCATTGGTTTTTTTTCTATTTCATTTTTTTGTTGACAATCATATTTTCAGTAGAAACTGGGTGGAATTTGGTATTGAGTGTCAACGAAAAAAAAACTCATATTTGATGTCATAGAAACATCTAAAAAAAACAGTGGGTATCGGCTGTATAAACAAAAAGCAATTATTCATCATTTTAAATTAAAAACAACATTTCATATATAATCCAAGGGAACAACGATCCAAAGAACAGGTATACAAATTAACCATGTGCGCCGCTGCAACAGCAAGATCCTTAACTGTTGCCAGCCGACCAAGACAAGGTCGACTCCAAAATTATTTACTAATCTGGGTCGATGATAACATCGACGAGAACAACGAAGATTGCGCAAATACGCTGGCGAAATTGCGCAGCATCGTCAGAGAAGTCAATCTCTGTACGACTCCAACGCAATGTATTCAGTTTCTGAATAATATGGATAACGAAAAAGCGTTTATTATCTCGTCTGGAGCTTTAGGGCAGCACCTCGTACCACAGATTCATGATTTGTCACAAGTGGACGCAATTTATATCTTTTGTGGTAATAAAACAAAACATGAAGCATGGGCAAAAGAATGGGCAAAGATTGAAGGTGTTTTCACCTCAATCAAGCCCATACGTGAATCATTAAAGAAGGTCACCCGTGAATGTGACCATGATGCCATTCCCATGAGCTTCGTTCCGAAGCAAACGATGGCAGCTACATCAAGTCAAGAAAATCTGGACCAATTAGAACCATCATTTATGTACTCAGTATTATTCAAAGAAATTATATTAGAAATCAATGAAGACGACATAAAGCCGCTGAACGATCTAGTCGTTTACTGTCGTAGCAAAGGTATATCGGAAAAAGAATTAAAGGACTTTCACAGTACATACCACCAGAAAACGCCAGTCTGGTGGTATACATGCGAAATGTTTCTCTATGGCATGCTTAACTACGCTCTACGATCACTCGACATGGAAACCATGACAAAAATGGGCTTTTTCATCCGAAACCTTCATCATCAGCTGGAACAACTGCACAAAGAACAAGCAAAGACTTTTATGGAAAAATTTATTGTTTATCGTGGTCAGGGGCTCATTGAACAAGATTTTCAGCATCTAATGAACACGAAAGGTGGACTGGTCTCATTTAACAATTTTTTGTCAACTAGTACAAAACAACAGATCGCTATGGAATTTGTGGAACGTACAATGCAGAAAAATAAAGACATCGTGGGTGTTCTTTTCATCATGACAATTGATCCAAATACAATATCGGCGGAAACTACTCCATTTGCACTTATCGACGAATACAGTGCTATTGAAACTGAAAAAGAAATTTTATTTTCAATGCATACTGTTTTTCGTGTCGACGACATCAAACAATCAATTAGCAATAGTCGTCTGTGGGAAGTTCAATTGAGTCTCACCGGCGACAATGATCCACAATTAGCTACTCTTACTAAAACCATACAAAAGGACCTCTGTGGATCCACCGGATGGCATCGAATGGGAGATTTGATGATCGAAGTGGGCCACTATAATCAAGCTGAAGAACTCTACAATGAATTACTGAAGAACGCTTCCAGTGACGGTGACAGACAACATATCTATCATATGCTTGGATTTTTAAAAAACGAAAAAGGACAATATCAAGAAGCAGTTGCATTTTATGAAAAATCACTGAAGATCAATAGAAAAACTCTTTCGGAAGATCATTCTTCATTGGCTCCTACCTATACTAACATTGGTCTTGCGTATAACAACATGGGTGACTACTCGAAAGCACTTGAATTTTACGAAAAATCACATAAAATCCTCGAAAAAGCTCTGCCTCCGAATCATCTCGATTTGGCTATTTCCTACAACAACATCGGTGGAGTGTATGACAACATGGGTGACAACTCGAAAGCACTTGAATTTTGCGAAAAAGCACATAAAATAAAAGAAAAAGCTCTACCTCCAAATCATCCCTCATTGGCTACTTCCTACAACAATATCGGTTTTGCGTATTCCGGCAAAGGAGACTACTCAAAAGCACTTTCATTCTTAGAAAAGGCACTTTCTATCTGGCAAAAATCACTTCCACCTAACCATCCTAATATTAAAACAGTCACAAACTCAATTGACTATGTAAAAAAGAAAATGTAACTATAATTTTTTCTTTTCACTTGCTCAATAAATTTATTCACATGGCTAATCGTTTCGATTTTTCTCGGCTCATTTTGGCTTACCCGCGCACGCGCGACAAGGGAGAGATCCCTTGTCAATGCCATAGGTACCACAGGCGGACCACGCCGGACTGGTAGGGCAATGGCCGAAGGTATGCCGTATTAACACGGTAGAGACCAACGACACATAGAGGCCTTCTCTAGTACTACACTGCTTCGCTATGGCACTAAAGTTCCTGTCCCTATTGAATCAGAAAACGTAGTTCTCTGACCCACACTAATAACATTCATAACTCAACTCATCTCAAAAGTACTCATACTCATACTCATAATAACTGACAATATTTATTTTTTCTCGAAATAAATTATCTCAACTCAACTCAACTCAACATGTAAAAATATTTTTTCCTACCTCTCAATGTTGTATTGTATCGTAGGTCATCTAAAAAAAAAGTATTGTTAAATATAAAGACAAATAATTTACCTTATTTAAAATATAATGATATCATTATCATTGTAAATAATATAATAATAATAATAATAAATAATGTATCCGGGTATATAATTACATTGTAATGCACCATATTGAGAAAACGCGAATGTACTGTTTTATGATGATACATCCATGTTTTTATATACACTATGGTTCATTGTTTAATATTCAACGGTTTTGATTGATTTTTCATCAATCACATCACACACGTGAATTGATTTGACGATCAATCTTTATGTAGTGATATATGTATGTTTTTTTAATGTTTTTTTCACATCTGACGGACATCAATATCATGTCGTCGTCGTCGTAGTCGAAAAATAAATATTCGTCTTATGTGTATATATACAGTGTGAGTTGAAAAAAATATTAACATTCACTACCACACCCACCCCTTTCATCACCATCTTTTGAAATAAAAATCTTCGAATATTTCATCACAAACAACATGAAATCGATCTACTCTGTTTCATAGTTTTTATTTAAGTAAAAAATTAATGCTAAAACAAAATATGTTGACACGAATGAAAGTGATTTTCAAGTTATTGTACTCGATTCATTTGTTCAATCACTTTTAATTCACATTAATTGTGGTATACTAAAGACTGATAAAAATTTCTTGTATTTCTGATCTATTGCTTATTTTTGAATAGAATTGCTTACGAATTGTTTAGCTAAAATAAAATTAGAGATATTATAAAACCATAGAAATTTTAAATTCAAATAAATGGTACTATCATAGAAGATAAATCCAATTATGGACCAAACTAAACGGAAAAGACGATTGATATTCTAAAAAACAATTTAAACTTTAGAAAAAATTTCATGAATAAAAAAAAACGAACTTTTCTGTTTGCTAATGCTCGAAATGTAACAATAAATGGATCAATTAATCGTAATTCAAATAATGATACAACAATAAAATTTGTTAATTGTGTAGAATAAATATTCAAAAGTGATTGATCCTAAAAAGTAAAGTAAAATCTAAGATTATCAAAGAAAGAAAATTAACCTTAGATGATGCCATAGTAACATGTAATTGTAAATGAATAAGAAGTCCATGGACAATTTGTCGTGAAATACAATTCCATTAATCACCTTCATGTTGAATACTATCAACAATAATATCATATACAACTAAGTCTAATACTGCTAAAACTAAAAAAAAACGAATTCAAACAATAATTTATTTTTCTTGAAAATATTTTTTTTCTTTTCTTCTTCTCATACGTTGCAAGTCATGTTTACTTGCTTTGTGACAACATAATAAGAAATTCTAACTAATTTTCGTGAATTTTTAATTCATGATGAAACTATACATCATCTTGATACATTTTCATATTAATAATTTTCTTGGATTTATAGATCGTACATTAGCTGGAAATTATTTACTTATTCAATCAATATAGACTATTAGGAATAATTTATTAAAACCAAATACATTATTCCCTGGACTGAAAGGAGGGTCATATGAAAAAAAATAGTTTGTATGTTTGTGTCAGGGTCAAAAGAACATTAGGGTCAAAAAAACATCCGCTTCTGCATAAAACTTGACCAAAGGGTAATCGAGGATGGGGAATTCGAATCTGAGGTTAGTTTTAACTAATTATTAACTAATTATCAATTAATTATTAATTAATTATTAATTATTAATATTTTGTATAAAACTTGACCAAAGGGTAATCGAGGACGGGGAATTTGAATCTGAGGTTAGTTTTAACTAATTATCAATTAATTATTAATATTTTGTATAAAACTTGACCAAAGGGTAATCGAGGGTGGAGAATTCGAATCTGAGGTTAGTTTTAATTAATTATTAATTAATTATTAATTAATAACATTTTGTATAAAACTTCACCAAAGGGTAATCGAGGGTGGGAAATTGGAATCTGAGGTTAGTTTTAATTAATTATTAAATGATTATTCCCTCGACTGTAGGGAGGGTCATATGAAAAAAAATAGTTTGTATGTTTGTTTATGTCAGGGTCAAAAGAACATCCGGGTCAAAAAAACATCCGTTTGTGCATAAAACTTAACCAAAAGGTAAACGAGAATGGGGAATTCGAATGTGAGGTTGATTTTAATTAATTATGAACTAATTATTAATTGACTATTAACTAATTACTAATTAACTATTAACTAGTTATTAATTAACTATTAAGTAATGATTAATCAATTATTAACTAATTATTAATGTTTTGCATAAAACTTGGCCAAAAGGTGATCGGGGTCGGAGAATACGAATCTGAAGTCAGTTTCTCAAAATTTTGAATTAAGTTTTTTGGCTCAAGAAAAGGATTTTTCGAGAAAATAACTAATTTTTATAAAGGTTGTCGATAGTAAATCGGAGTTGGAGAATCCGAATCTGAAGTTAGTTTTTCAAAATTTTGAATTGGATTTTTAGGGCA